TTTCCAAGTGCAAGACAAATATTCTGCCTACTAAGCCACTGTTGTCTCTAATACAGGTTGTATACTACTACGTGTGCAACTTGTTTTCTGAGAAACTAACTTTCAGAAGTGAACATCAACAGTTTATTTCTACCAATATTAGTACAATGTATGTGCATTCCAGCAATATTGTTGGATATTGAGGTTGGGGTTTCTGGGACAACTCTGACATTCTGTGTCAGAATTCCGACTTCAGTTGATTTTTGTGACTCAGACACGTCCAACTTCCAAGCACAAATGGAAAATCCCATTGAACTGCTTCCTTTCTAATGCCTTGTAGCGGCTAGCTGTGTAGCAGTGCTAGCATTTAGTGCTACAAACAAGTGCTAGTGCCAGCGGTCGAATGTACATAAAAGAAAAAAGGCAAGAGGAGATTGTTTTGCAGCTTTATATTCTTCGTTTTACTGCTCACCGTGCTTAAAAAACAAAAGTACCATGCTCCTCACTGATGCTTGTAATGCAACCACCCTGTCCCCTGCTACAGCATAGTGGCATCCAATAAAGTTTTAGAATAATTCCAATATTAATCTTACTAAGCAAAATAGATGAGATGTTAAAGCAAACTCCACTCAGAACAGGCCTCACCATGGTCGACCAAAGACTTTGACTACACAAGCTCATCATCATATCCGGAGGTTGAATTGAAAATAGACGAATGCATGCTGCCAGCATTGCTGCTAAGCCTGTCAGTGCTCAGACCATACGGCACACACTGGCTCTCGTCCCAAATGGAAGCCTCTTCTAAAGATAATGTACAAGGAAGCCTGCAAACAGTTTGCTGAAGACAAGCAGACTAAGGACACGGATTACTGGAACCCTGTCTGTGGTCTGATGAGAGCAAGATAAACTTATTTGTTTCAGATGGTTTCATGTGTGGCTTCAACCAAGTGAAGAGTACCAAGACAAGTGTGTTTTGCCTACAGTCAAGCATGGTGGTGGGAGTGTCATGATTTGGGGCTGCATAAATGCTGCTGGCAATTGGGAGCTACAGTTCATTTATGGAACCAGGAATACCAACATGTACTGTGACATACCGAAGCAGAGCATGATCCTTTCCCTTCGGAAACTGGGCCACAGGGCAGGACATCCACCAGCTCTGCGATGGCGTCATGGAAGAGAATTCCAGTAGGAACCTGTGAACATCTAGTGAACTCCATCTCCAAGATAGTTAAGACAGTGGTGGAAAATAATAGCGGCCACACAAAATATTGACACTTTGGACATAATTTGGACATTTTCACTTAGAGGTGTACTTACTTTTGTTGGCAGCGGTTTAGACATTAATGACTGTATTAAAGTTATTTTAAAGAGACAGCAAATGTACACTGTTGTAGAAGCTATATACCGATTATGTTTAACCGATGTGACAGTTGAGCTCAACGTGATTATTTTATGTGAGATATTAATGCTTGCTATGGTTTAATTTGAAATATTCCTGTTATAATCATACTCTATTGTGCCCATTGTGATTTTATCTACAAAAGTAAATATTCTTTGTAGTGTATTTCATGTGTTTACTACATTTTAATCTTTTCTTACTGCACCTGGAAGAAAAGATGAAAGTAGAAAGTCTCAAAAAAAAAAACATTTCTAGGCTGGAGAAACAAACTATTAGTGAAAATCTCCAATTTCAGAAGGATGTTGCTTTTCAGTCTTTATCTAAAATTCATTGAACCATCACACAGGAAAAAGAACAGATGAAGTAACGGATAAAACAAATAACTGAGAATATCCAGAAGAAGCGAGCTATGAAAGAACTTTACAGTAAACTGGTGGAAAATTGCATTCTTAGGTCAAAGCTGCCCAAAATGGAAGAACAGATGAGAGCAAAAGAAAGACAGAAACAGCAGGAGAGCATTCGATTGCAGAGATAATTTGTGTAACGGACTTTTGTCTAGGCCTTTAATGTTAGATCCTACTTCTGCATTTGATCCAAATGGCCACGATATTCTTTTACAGAAGCTCGAACATCAAGGCAACAGGACTGGCCTGGTTTAGATTATTTTCGTCTAACACATTCCAGTTTGTTTATACTAATGATAAATCTTCTTCATGCCTCAATCTTTGTATTCTCATTCTCACCTTTAACAGAATTATAGCGGCGGGGTGGGGGGTATGCCCCTGTAAATGTTTGTGCCTCACAGCGCCCCTGATGATCCAGGAGAGTGATTTATTTCTCATGTAATTAACAAGCTAATTGCACCAGTGCAGCGAACTCACAACTAAATCAATTAGAAAGATGTTTCATAATGGTCAGTTTTTTTGTCAAAAATGATTTTTTTATGTTGTACCTAAACACCACCTCTTGTAAAATTGTCTAAATCCTCAGTTTAGGAGGTCATAGGAAAACCCAATATCTACAACCAATATTTCCATAATTCAGGGCTCATCCCCTATTGGTAAATGATACAATGTAAACTAGGCATTAAATATTGCATAGGTAATTAGTATTTTAATTATGTCCGTCAGTCAACATTTTTGTCCACAAAGTAGATTTAGCATAAGTCGAAGAGCAACAGAACCTGTGGCTAATTGTTTTTTGTCAACTCTTTTCTTGCTATTTTAAGTTTACCTCATCAACTGTTTTTCTTTTATTTTTCCACATTATATGAACTTATTGAGAGAGATATGTAGCTTAATAGAAAGGACCATAAGAAATTGATGTCAACACTTATCTGTTATTACCTTTTTGGGTGAAATTGCTATTAAATATAGATATTTTTTGTTAAGTTTTTTTGTGTCATGTGAAAAACTTGAAAAAAATGAGTTGGAGCATTATTTTGGGAAGGTGACGATATGCTAATTGATGTTAATCATCATCGATATGACCCACAATCCTTTGTACAATCACAACGATGTTGCGTTGGTCAGGTGGGTTTGTCACCGATGCGGAAATGAAAGTTCAGTAGCGACAACGGCAGAGCACAGCTGAAAAAGGTACGTAAATTATTCCAGCATCGCTTCAATTTCCGGCATGTCAATTCACCTGCCGACAAATGACATATAAAAGGCGACTATAAGCGCAGTTCCGCCGGCTCTCTGGTGGTTAAAACGACATTCGCTGGCGTGTCCTTTTGTGAAATCCCGCTACGAGGAAGACTGGCTAACAGTTAGCCTCCTTGGCGTCAAGGACGCTAAATTTAAACGTGTCGGACCGGATGTATCAAAACGCACCCTTCAAAGTTAAAGAAATTTTTTTCCCATAAGATAAGCTTACGTGTTTAATCTTGTCAAACGTAAAGAAAGCCGAACAGAACGATATGTGCATGGGAAAGAAAACATTTTGGTAAAATGTTCAAGATATTTTTATGTCCAGTTAACGTTTACAGTTTGTCATTGGTTATACATGTATTCTCTTCGTTCCTTAATATTGTACATGTAGTCCAGACATTTCATACCCATGTACTTGCACCATGGTGTGCTTACTTTTCATTGTGGTTAACATTTTTCTGGAATTATTGGGATAAAATGGGCATAAAAATGATCAAATCTCTCATAATTTAAATCGGCTGCATTTTATTATCTGAAAACTATGTATTACTCTCTGCTCCCACTGATGTAATTTCTGTTTAAGACAGCGGACTTCTTCCAAACGCTGTCAGATTGTGTCACCTGATTAAAACTAAATTACTCAGAGCGCTCTCTTGTGGGTAATTTGATTGAGTATTTAATCAAATTTTCTTACAGTACATAATGTGAAGAATGGAACCGTATAAAAAAAATATTTAAAACTCCTTTTAGGGAAGCGGCACAAGTCGTTGCGTGGATGGTAAATTCTACAGTAGACTGTAGATCTGTTGAAATGTAAATAGAATTACTTCCACGCCTGTAAGGTTTGTTTTTAGAAATATGTTCTTTCCGACTCTTATTTTGGAAATACATACCGGAAGTTTTTAGGGTTTCTAATCGTCCCTTGACAGTACTGGGTGCCAACTTCAATCATCTTCCGTGTTTGTGTTTTGTACGCAGCTACCATGGATATTTAACAAGCTGACAATAAATCTGTTTATTTGCAACACATATCTGACGGTTTAAATGAAGCTGAAATGGGTCGTAAACAGTGAAGATAATACTCCCGTTCTGTTCAGCCAGTCAGCTCAGTTTACAAGGCGGACAGGAGGTGATTCTGTCCTCTTTGGTTATGATAAATCCCATCGGATCATCTGCGGCTTTGACACTGACCTAAGGTAGTGGAGTTTTTTTTTTTCTTCTTCTTGTTAAAACATCCAATTCTTTGCTCTGATTGTTACCAGAACTCTTCCTGCTATGCGCCATAGTTTTCTGTGGTCCCAGACTGGGATGCCAGCTGCAGTCACCTTGGTGCAGCAGCAAGTACAGCAAAACAAATGAGCCGCCTCGTAATAGTTTGCTTTCGATTAGAAATATTTCATGGATGTCAAACTGTTAACTTGGAGATTTTAATAGATGTATTGAAGATAATAGGAAGAACAATGTGGCTGTGATCCGGGGTACCTCAACAAATAGCCATTCAGCAAAAAAACAAAAAAAATCAAAATCAAATAAAAATATAAGGGAGTGACATCAAATTACAGATGCACCGATCATCGGTTTCGTTAAGCTCTGATCGGCCATTACCAGATTGCGTTAATTCTGGTTTCTCTTTCAAAGATATAAATCACAAACTTTTTTTTTTTTTTTACTTTCTTAATGAATTGAATATTGAACTGACTTAAAAACAGTATTTATAGTAAAATACAAATGATGATTCTAAGTGAAGGTTAGAGAGCTTTTATCTTACTGTATCCATGAAAATCTACAAAAGCAATAAAATCCTCCAGGTTATAAGACAGAGGTATGTGTAAATAAAGCCCAAATAAAAAGAATTACAGCATGTCTTTTTTATGTAGGTCATAGATTATAGTTTGCTATCCTTTCTTTCTTTCTTTGTTGTTGTTTCTTTTATAATTGAAGCATTTATGCTGGAAGATTATATAAGAATCCTTTCTGTCTGCACAGTGGTAGGTCTTTTGCCTTGCAGTAAGAAGGTCCTGGGTTCGATTCCCAGCTGGGGGTCTATCTGCATGCAGTTTGCATGTTCTCTTCCCGTGCATGTGTGGGTTCTCACTGGGTACTCCGGCTTCCTCCCACAGTCCAGAGACATGCCTGTTAGGTTAATTGGTCACTCTAAATTGTCCTTAGGTGTGTGAATGAGTGTGTGCTTGGTTGTTTGTGTGGACTGGCGACCATCGTTGTCTGCGATGGACTGGCGACCCGTTCAGGGTGTACCCCGCCTCCCGCCCATAGACTGCTGGAGATAGGCACCAGCTCCCCCGTGACCCACTATGGAATAAGTGGTAGAAAATGACTGACTGCATTTATGCTGGAAGATTATATAAGAAGCCTTTCTGTCATGATTGATATTTAATTATCTATATTAGGACCATATCAAGACAAAGTGGTATTAAAAGAATCAAACTCTTTAAAAGGATAAAACTTTGCTTTAATATGTTCAACTTCCTTTTTTTTGCTGATGTCTAATAACTTCCTATTGTAAGGAAGTTTGTTCTTCTGACTGACATTTATAAAAAACATCAATAACTCTGATAACTCAACCCGGTAGAGCTTAGTTATCCATTCAGTTATTTAAAAAAAAAAAAAAAATCAGATTTTTAGTTTCTAACCAGTTGATGACCAATCCGGCCCAGTCAAGCTAAAGATCTGCTGATTCTGGTCACCTGTCAATTTCTCGATACAACTCTAATCTAAATCACTAAATGAGTTATATCACATAAAAGAGCAGCAAAATACCTTTCCAGTTATATCTGCCTCATGTAAACGGCACTGTTATGACACCTTAAATGGAAAGGAGAACAGTAACACGACAGTCCTTGCAGAAGCAATAGACGGGTTTATTTTTGTCACCACAAATTCTCAAAAAGGTTTGCACAAAATGTGGGGGAGAACGAGACCTTTAGGTTGTGCCAAATCAAAAAAACAACCAAAACAAAACAGGGCCTTACTTGACACCTATTCTAAGTGAAAACAAAAAAAGAAACAATCCCTGATCTTCTAATCTAACAGAAAAGCTCTCCAAAAACATTACATGGGTTGGCACCAACCTACTTACCTAGTGTATCTAACAGAAAGGAACCCATGTGTGAAACAAACATGCTCCTGAGAAGCCACACAGGTGTAGCAAACGGTCATCAGTCAGGAGGAGGAGAAGGTGCAGCCAGCCCCACAGGTGAGCTTCCTTTATAAGGCAGTCCTGGTTGGTACTGGTTGGTCTTGTTACATGTAACAGGCACCAATAATAATGCTCTGACGCATTTAATATTTCAGTTTTGAATGCTTTAGATAAATATTAAACAAAACGTGACAGATTTTGAGAATGTTTTGTGAATTGTAACTTCCTGTTTTGACTTTAAGCAAGATGTCAATATCAGACAAATTCTAAGAATAGATTTACATCTGAAAGATGCAAGAAGTTTGTAAATAAGTAAATAGTTTCTGTTTAAAGTCACATCAGGCTGTTAATAATACAGTTTGAGACATCAGAATACAATGACATTTTCAAATTCAGATTATACTTTTGGGGCCGTGAAACACTGGACCAGCTCTATACCCTCTACAGGGTACTCGAGGGTTCATGGGAGTTTGCCCAACCGGTCCACATGTGTTTTTTGGACCTGTAGAAAGCATTCAACTGTGTCCCTCATGATGCCCTGTGGGGGGTGCTCCAGGAGTATGGAATCGGGGGCCCTTTACTAGGGGCCATCCGGTCTCTGTACAAGCAGAGCAGGAGTTTGGTTCGCATTGCCGGCACTAAGTCGGACCTGGAGGTGGTCTGGTTTGGGGACCCTAGGATTTCGTCTCTTCTTTTTGCAGATGACGTGGTCCTGCTGGCCCCCTCTAGCCAAGACCTACAGCATGCACTGGGGCGGCTTGCAGCCGAGTGTGAAGCGGCTGGGATGAAGATCAGCTCCTCCAAGTCCAAGGCCATGGTTCTCGACCGGAAAAGGGTGGCTTGTCCTCTTCAGGTTGGAGGGGAGTTCCTGCCTCAAGTGGAGGAGTTCAAGTTTCTCGGGGTCTTGTTCAGTGAGGGAAGAATGGAGCGGGAGATCGACAGATGGAGCGGTGCGGCTGCCGCAGTAATGGGGGCACCGTGCCGGTCCATTGGGGTGAAGAGAGAGCTGAGCCGAAAAGCGAAGCTCTCGATTTACCGGTCGGTCTACGTTCCTACCCTCACCTATGGCCATGAACTTTGGGTCATGACTGAAAGAACGAGATCCTGGATA